TCCTAATGCGGTGACCCCTTAATACAGTTCCTCATGTTGTGGTGACCCCCAACCATAAAATTATTTTCATTGTTACTTCATAACTGGAATTTTGCTCCTGTTATGAATTGTAATGTCAATATCTGATATGCAGGTTGTATTTTCATTCATTGAACCAAATTTGGCACAAATGACCGATAGGCCCAAATTTGAATACTGGTGGGGTGGGGGGGGGGGAGATTTTGTCATTTGGGAGTTGTAGTTGATGGGATTTATAGTTCACCTACAATCAAAGATCATTCTGAACAGCACTAATGATGAAATTGAACTAAACTTCGCATACAGAACTCCCATTACTAATAGAAAATACTGGAAGGATTTAATGGGCATTGAGTTTTGGAGTTGTAGTTCACCTACATCCAGAGAGCACTGTGGACTCAAACAATGATCAATCTGGACCAAACTTGGCATGAATGCTCAATATGGCCAAACATAAACAGTGGTGGAGTTTGGTGAAAACAGACCTTGACATTTGGGAGCTATAGTTGCTGGGATTTACAGTTCACCTGCAATCAAAGAGCCTTCTGAACCCCACCAATGATAGAATTGAGCCAAACCTACCAAACAGAAGCCCCATGGTCAGCAGATGGTCTTAGATGACCTGTCTGACACTCCCATTGCGCCCCACTGAGTGATCCCGATGATGGCAAAAGCGTGAGGCCGGCGAGGGGCCTTTGCACGAGGTCAGGCCTTGCACCGAGATCCCCTCACCCAACCAGTGCCCTTGCCAAATGGTGAAGAGCGCGAAGGAGCTCTTGCCTGGCCCCTGCCCTTGGGGCGGGGCCAACAGAGGCGGCCTTGCGACCCTTCCAAAATGGCCAAGTGACCCTCCAAGGGGTTGCGACCCCCAGGTTGAGAACCGCTACTCTATCGTGTAACTTTACATGTATGTAGCTACGAAGAACCTCTGTGAATTGTGAAGATGCAAAATAGGCCAGAGTGTCAGATGTGCATTAGGATTCTCTGATAAGTGTCCTAATACACAACACTTCTGATGTGTATTTATCCTAATGCATATGGATCACTTTGCTGGCTCCCCTATGTAATAAATGATAGCAGTCCATTACTAGTGACTTTGTTGTTGTTGATTGCTCTCAAGTCGACCTCAGCTTATGGCGACCCAATAAATGAGAGGTCCCCAAGTCACACTATTATTCAGGTCTTGCAGATTCATGGTTGTGGCTTTCTTGATTGAATCTAGCCATCTGGAATGTGGTCTTCCTACTGTAATCAATTTACTAAGCATTATTGTCTTTCCTAGATCATCGCTTCTCATGACAATGACCAAAGTATGATAGCTTTAGTTTAGTCATCCTGCCATTTGAGACAAGTTCAGGCTCACTTTGCCTTAGAACACATTTATTTAGGAGTATCCATATAAGTCTTCTCAGGAAACAGTTTTTTACCCTGAAACTGGAAGTGAAAAGTAGTAATAAAGAATGGGCCGAGATGACTACATATATGTTAGCTGCGGCCCAAGCCACAGTTGCCCTGAAATGGAAAGAACGTAAAAATTGGAATATACAAAAATGGTACGAATATTTGGCAGACTATATGCTTTAAGCTTACATCTTGGATAGGAAAAATAAATAAAGCAATAGATACCCAAGGGGGGAAATGGAAATGGGAAAAACTGATAGCCAAGGCTAAGGGCAACAGACGGTCTGTAGACGGTCCACATTTCTCAGGCATATAACAAAGTTGGGAGGACAATGGCTTCATAAACAAACATCGGATGTCCTGATCCTCAAACATGTATAGTGTCTAGATTCAGCGAAGTCATGCTACCCCTCTATTCTGCCTTGGCTAGACCACACCTGGACTATTGTGTCCAATTTTGGGCACCACAATTGAAGAGAGATATTAACAAGCTGGAATGTGTCCAGAGGAGGGTGACTAAAATGATCAAGGGTCTGGAGAACAAGCTCTATGAGGAGCGGCTTAAAGAGCTGGGCATGTTTAGCCTGAAGAAGAGACATGATAGCCATGTATAAATATGGGAGAGGAAGTCATAGGGAGGAGGGAGCAAGCTTGTTTTCTGCTGCCCTGGAGACTAGGACGCGGAACAATGGCTTCAAAATACACGAAACGAGATACTATCTGAACATTAGGAAGAACTTCCTGACTGTGAGAGCCGTTCAGCAGTGGAACTCTCTGCCCCGGAGTTAAGTGGTGGCTCCTTCTTTGGAAGCTTTTAAACAGAGGCTGGATGGCCATCTGTCGGGGGTGCTTTTAATGCAATTTTCCTGCTTCTTGGCAGGGGGTTGGACTGGATGGCCCATGAGGTCTCTTCCAGCTCTATTATTCTATGACATTTTCTAACGTTACACCATGAAGATGTATTTCCGGCATTGCAGAGGGACTGGCTGGTGCCTGTAGAAGAAACGCTTTATTTTTCACGATGTTCAGTGAAAGGCCAAGCTTTGCATATGCTTCTGTAAAGGCATTTAGAATGGATTGTAGGCCATCTTCTGAATGAGCACAGACTACATTATCATTAGCATATTGGAGTTCTATAACAGACTGTTGTGACCTTGGTTTTGGCTTTGTCTGCTGAGGTTAAATAGCTTACCATCTGTCTGATTGCTGATTTCCATGCCTGATTATATGGCAATGTACTTAAGCGATCCCTCATTGTCCAAGTGGGATTGTCTTCCAAGTACTGGCGGTGTGTCTGTCGGTGACTGTGGAGCCCTATTCTTGATCTGCATCTTCTCTCGCAGTGAGGGCATCGGTTTCCAGGTGGAAGGCGGTCCCGGTCAGGGCTGGCTTGATGCGTCTTCTTCTTGGCACGTTTCTCTCTTTCTCCCTCCATTTGTGCCTCTTCAAATTCTACAGCTTTGAGTCCCCCGCAGAGATGAGAAAGGCAGTATATAAATGCTGTAAATATTTATTTATTTATTTATTTATTTATGGTGCTTCTACCCCGCCCTTCTCAACCCCCTAGGGGGGACTCAGGGCGGCTTACAAAAAGGCACAATTCGATGCCTAACAATTACAAAATACAATACAATATACAATACACAAATTTACCATATAATATCACAGTTATAATTAATTAAAACAATCAAACAATATACTAGCATCAATAAAAACATCTTGTGGTCAATGTTCACTAAATCCAAGTCCGTAACCCATTTTGCATCATCATTGTCCTTTCCTACTCTGGTCATTATTGGTTGTCTTAGTCCATCTGCCAGCTTACCCATAAGGCCTGGTCCCACATCCAGGTCTTTAGCTTCCTTCTGAAGGAGAGGAGGGATGTTGATGTCCTAATTTCCCCGGGGAGTGCATTCCACAGGCGAGGGGCCACCACTGAGAAGGCCCTGTCCCTCGTCCCCACCAGTCTCGCCTGTGAGAGCAGGGCCCCCTCAGCAGATCTTAAACTCCGAGGTGGGACGTAGAAGGAGATACGTTCGGACAGGTACGCTGGGCCAGAGCCGTAAAGGGTTTTGTAGGTCAAAACCAGCACTTTGAATTGTGCTCGGAACTGGATCGGCAGCCAGTGGAGCTGACATAGCAGGGGGGTGGTATGCTCCCTGTATGACGCTCCGGTGAGTAATCTAGCCGCCGCCCGTTGGACTAATTGAAGTTTCCGAACAGTCTTCAAAGGCAACCCCACGTAGAGCGCGTTGCAGTAATCTATTTGGGATGTAACAAGAGTGTGGACCACTGTGGCCAGATCCGACTTCCCAAGGTACGGGCGCAGCTGGTGCACAAGTTTTAATACAGCACTGCTGGTCACAGCTGACCTCCAGCTGGAGCGCTCAAGTGCCAGGGCTTCCCAGCTCTGTGTCCATGCCAGAGTTTTTAAGGTTGGCTTTGAACCCATATGGCAATGTAGACCAGGCCTCTAGGTGTTTTGGACTTCAACTCCCACCATTCCAAGTCCAAAACACCTGGAAGGCCCAAGTTGGCCCAGGCCTGCTTTAAGGGTTTGAATCCATCTCCACAGAGGCTTCTCAATTGACAAACAGTTGGACATTCACTACTTCCTGCCACTGAAGCAGAGAAAAGGCGGGAAGAAGAAGAAGAGGAGGAGGAGCAAGAGTGCTCCATCCTCCCTCCTCTCCAGCAAGCCCCTTGTCCTGTTTTGTCTATTTTAGCTAGTAACTCTGGAGTTATGTAGGTTCTGTAAAACATTTTAAACATATTTTCTCTAATTGAGCTGGCCACTGAGAATCTAAAACCCTTATTCCAAAGATGTTCCCACTCTTCCGGATCAATATTTCTCCCTACATCTTTGGCCCACGTGATCATAACGGTTTTTATTTGGTTATCTACTAAATTGTATTCTAAAATATATTTGTAAAGCCTGGATATTAGGCCTTTGTTGCCCTTCTCGAAGATACTTTCTAACTCTGATTTATTAGAGGCAAATCCTACTTTTGCATCCTTCCTAAATCTGTCATGTAGTTGGAAAAAACTGAACCAATCTTTTAACCCAGATTCTTCTCTGCTTTTAAGTATCCATTGCCCTTTCTCTTTGACTAGATAATCTTTGTATGTGCCGGGCCCTCTGTTTAAAAAATTTGAGGACCCCTAGTTTAAAGTATCCAAAGCTGTCAAGATGTCCAGCACAACCAAAAGCGATACACATCCCTTCTGGTATACATTATCTATCAAGAAGCATAAAGGTATCTCTGCCCCAGACCTAGGCTTGAAACTGGATTGTAATGCTTTACCCACAAAGACAAATATAGACAGAAATTTTGATCTAGTATGAATATTTTTTTCAATAAACCTCTTCACAGATAGATAACATCATAAGCAATTATTATTATATCTGAGATGAAACTGAGCTTTAGTTTCCATAACTAAAATATCATGATTCTATGGTCTATGACCTTAGTTGTATGGATGAGGTTGTGATACACTAGTTATGAACCCCTGTACATTAGTGTGTATAATTTGACACTCTTGCTAATACATTCAAATCCAAGTAAAGAAGTAATACTTACTGATTTTTTCAAGGCCTTCCAATGGAACTGCCCAGCCTAATCCCAAACAGCCAACAAAACACAAGAACAGGCTCAGCTTCATGATGTGAAATGTCTCAATGGATATCCTATGACCAAATCTAGTTATTTTGCCAACTGAATGGACAGTTACTTGGGCTACATGTTTTCTTTTGAGGATGGGAGGGGGAGAAGGGAGGGGCTTCCTGTTGCAAACAAGAAATGGGGCTAAGAAGCAAGAAAAACAAGATAATCCGGCAGTGTACATGCACAGCACAAAGTTGCAAGGTGTGTTGAACTACAATGCAACAAAACAGGCCTTAAGGTATTCGGAACATTTCTGATAACCTCTCAAAGACCTGCAGGAATGGAAATAAAAATGTTTTATGGACCTGGGCAGAAACTGTCATTTTTTCCATATTCCTTACAGTATTGATTGATTTTAAAAGAACGAGACTTTTTTAGGCATGTGTAATGGCTAATTCCAAGGGTTTATGTTCTTAACCCAGTCAGAAATATTCCAAACCTTCACAACAGGAAGTAAAATAGTTATTCTATAAAGTATTTCCTTTGAGATTTCCTCTATTGCTGGTCTGAACCAAGTTTGGAAGCTGATGTTGACAATATTCATAAATATATTCCAATTCAACCTATTCCAATGTTCTTAGAGGAACTAGAAGTCTACTCAGAAGTAACTTTACATGTATATTCTAATTGCAGCCATGTCTGAAAAACTTGATGTATCCTTACAATTTGGGAATTCAGTGTTGTAAACAAAAAATATTATTTGAGATGTCACAAAGCTCCCTGTTGCTCTTGTTTAAAGCTTTTCTTCTTCCACACAGCTATCTTGTATGAAAGTGATGTCAGCTAACCACGAAAAGTGGGGTTGCGTTTTGCATTTTGCGCACTGTGTTTTCCAGTGTTTTTATGGGTGATGGTCACTCATTGGCCTGATAGGTGTATTGCATCCAAATTTGGTGTCAATTCGTCCAGTGGTTTTTGAGTTATGCTAATCCCACAAATGAACATTACCTTTTTATTTATATAGACTAGCCGTTCCCTGCCACACATTGCTGTGGCCCACTCTAGTGATCATGGGGGTTCTGTGTGGGAGGTTTGGACCAATTCTATTGGTGGGGTTCAGAATGCTTTGTGATTGTAGGTGAACTACAAATCCCAGCAACTACAACTCCCAAATGTCAAGATTCTATTTTCCCCAAACTCCAGCAATATTCACATTTGGACATATTGAATATTCGTGTAGAGTTTGGTCCAGATCTATCCTTGTTTGAGTCCTCTCTGGATGTAGGTGAACTACAACTCCAAAACCAAAGGACACTGCCCACCAAACTCTTCCAATATTTTATGTTGATCATGGGAGAACTGTGTGACAAGTTTGGTTCAATTCCATCGATGGTGAGGTTCAGAATGCTCTTTGATTGTAGGTGAACTATAAATCCCAAGCAACTACAACTCCCAAATGACAAAATCATTTTTTTGAGTGAAGGACATACATTGGGTTGTTAGGTGTCTTGTGTCCAAATTTGGTGTCAATTCATCCAGTGGTTTTTGAGTTCTGTTAATCCCACAAACAAACATTACATTTTTATTTATATAGATTTATCTACACCCTCCTCTGATTGGTTGAAGTGCCAGCCCGGTTTTGATCCAGGCCCCTGTTGGCTAGGGAAACTTCCAGACATCACTGGCTGAAAGAGGTTTCCCTCGTGGTAGATTTAAAGTCCAAGTCTGTTTAGAAATCTTCCCCTGTGAAGGGTGAGGGTTCAGGAATGTGTCAATGAAAAAGGCATTTAGTTTCATGATTGATTAAATGTCTAGTTCAGGTAAGCACCAAGAGATAGCCCAGAAAACACAAAAATGGTGATTGAAATTATCTGGTAAAACAATGGCTAATTCTGCCCGCAGTAGGTCTGCACTGATCCCATCAATTAAGACCAAGAAGTTTCCCAGCACACGTAAGCAGATTTATGAATGTGGAGAGATTTTTACAGTTGCAATTTACATATACACAATGGAAATTCCATGAATGAGGCTTGGACTTCAGATGTGTACGCATTATCCATTTCAGCCTGTTTCCTATCCCCAGGCATGAGATTAAGTCAAAGTGATTTATACATTTGCAGTTCCTGTTACACTTTTAAGGTTTTTATTTCATCTGATTCCATTTCATATAGTTTATCTAATTTCATAAAAGTGGGTTTCATACACAGGAGGAGATGTGGCTGGCCGGACTTTTCTGCATTCGAAGCAGAGCAGCACTTCAGAATTGCAAAATTGGAAAAAATGAAAAAAAAAATTATACTTAATTCATCTCTGTTTATTTGTGTTTAATCAGGAAGGGGGGCAATTTTTCAATAACAAAAGGTAGCTAGAAATGGCAGTGAATCACTGGCAGAAGAGTATAATTTTAAAATGTTGTTATGTGTTATGTGTGCTCACTGTTTTAAACTTTGTTGTCTTCGTTTATATGCTTACGTATTGTTTATGTTATGTATGGCACTCCGGAGTGCTTTTGTGAACCCTTTGCGTCCCTTCGGGGAGATGGTGGCGGGGTATAAATAAAGTTATTATTATTATTATTATTATTATTATTATTATTATTATTATTATTTTACTGACTCAAAAACACAGTATGTCACAGCAAATGAGATCTATATGCTGGATTTCGTATCACAAAATCACAAGTCAAACATTTCCCAAGCGTCTAGGACTGTGTGATGTATTTTCAAATGATGCATGCAGATCCAAGTAAGGTGGACTTTTGCAGTTGATAGATCGTGATTTTGTCAATGTTTATTGTTTCCAAATGCCGGCTGAGATCTTTTGGCACAGCACCCAGTGTGCCAATGACCACTGGGACCACCTGTACTGGTTTATGCCAGAGCCTTTGCAGTTCGATTTTGAGGTCCTGATAATGGCTGAGTTTTTCCTGTTGTTTTTCCTCAATGCGACTGTCACCTGGTATGGCGACATCAATAATCCAAACTTTTTTCTTTTCCACAATCGTGATGTCTGGTGTATTGTGTTCCAAAACTTTGTCAGTTTGGATTTGAAAGTCCCACAGTATTTTTGCGTGTTCATTTTCCAATACCTTTGCGAGTTTACGATCCCACCAATTCTTTACTGCTGGTAGGTGGTACTTGTGACATAAGTTCCAGTGAATCATTTGGGCCACAGAGTTGTGCCTTTGTTTGTTGTCCATCTGTGCAATTTTCTTGCAACAGCTGAGGATATAGTCCATGGTTTCATCAGCTTCCTTGCACAGTCTGCATTTTGGTCCATTAGCTGATTTTTCAATCCTGGCCTTGACTGCATTTGTTCTGATGGTTTGCTCCTGGGCTGCAAAAATCAGGCCTTCCGTCTCCTTCTTCAGTATTCCATTCGTGAGCCAGAACCAGGTCTTCTCCTTATCCACTTTTCCTTCAATTTTGTCAAGGAACTGCCCATGCAATTCTTTGTTGTGCCAGCTGTCAGCTCTGGTTTGTAATGTAGTTTTCTTGTACTGGTTCTCTGTCTGCTGTGCTTTGAGAAATTTCCGATTATTGACTTCAATTAAAGCAGGTTCTTGGCTTTCCTTTACGTATTCTGCCAGGGCATCATGTTCTTCTTCTTCAACTGCTTGTTTTACTTGTAAAAGTTCTCTGCCACCAGACCTTCTAAGCGGATAGAGCCGGTCAACATCACTGCAAGGAGTTTTCTTGTTTTTCTGTCCAAATTGTCCAGTTCTGCCTGTGTCCAGTTTATGATGCCAGCAGTATATCTTATGACAGGTATGGCCCAGGAGTTTATGGCCTTGATGGTTTTGCCTCCATTGAGCTTGCCTTTGAGAATTTTTCTGACCCTTTGAATGTATTCTTTGCTGACCACAGTTTTCACATGTTCATGTTTGATGTTGTCCAGCCGTAGTATGCCCAGATATTTATAGGCCTCTGGCTGGTGGCACTTTATTGCTTGGCCATTGGGCACATTTATGCCATCACTTTCAATGATTTTTCCCTTCTTCAGTGCAACTATTGAACATTTGTCCAAACCAAACTCCATGTTGATATCAGTGCTGAAGATTCAGACAGTGTTAGGCAGAGAAAGAGATTGTTGTTGTTGTTGTTGTTGTTGTTGTTGTTGTCATGCTGGCCACATGACTTAGGAGGTGTTCATGGACACCGCCGGCTCTTCGGCTTAGAAATGGAGATGAGCACCACACCCCAGAGTCGGACACAACTGGAGTTAATGTCAGGGGAAAACCTTTACCTTTACCTTATTATTATAATATGGTAAACTTTGTGTTTTGCAAACTTTGTGTTTTGTTTGTTTGTTTGTTAAAAATGCAATACTACTGTTTGGTTTGCTCCTGACATGATATATAAAACATTATTATTATTATTATTATTATTATTATTATTATTATTATAAGACTATTTCATTTGTTTGAACCATTGAACTGTGGTTTTGAAAATGAAAAATAAAGATTTGAAATATTGGGCACTGGTGCTGAGGGAAATCCTCATGCAGCCTCTGAATTTTGTTTTGGAGTGGTCTGACATTTGATGCTGAAGGAAAACAGCTTCTCTCCAGAAACCCTTGTAAAAGAAAATATCTTGCATTCCTGTAAACAGGTTTTCCCAGAATTGCAATAGGTGGGTATTTGGTCATGGATAGTTGTTTATTTTAGCAAATGAAACATAGGTGGGCATGAGCAAGATCTAAATTGGGTGCCTATGTTTTTTTAAAATATATATTTAGTAGGTTCTGAAATGTTCTCAGTTTGGGGTGGATTTGTGGGCAGAGCTTGACACAAAAGCAGTGTATACTTTTGAGAACTATTGCTTTTAAGAAGAAAGACTGCAGCAGGTAATATCAGTTGTGTCATAGCAACTATCCTAAAGTAAAGAAATAGCCAGGAAATGATTTTTTTCTATGTAACATTAGGGTACTCCTTTGGACAATATCCAAAGGGATGTCATATAGAAGCAAATCGCAAGGGCAGATGTCTTCACTATGTCTGGTTGTGATCCCCAGGTTTGCACACTGATTGATGTGTATATGTGCAAATTAAGAAACTATAAGGTAATTTTAATTAAAATGTCTAAAATTCTAAACAATAAAGACTGTGAGCATGTACGTTTTTTGCCATTTC